ATTTTTGAAATTGCTTTTATTCTCAGAATTCAGGCTGCAAGGGAAGCAGAAGGCAGGAGAAAACAGCTGCAGATATCCTGCCTTCTTAATAAACTCCATCCTATATATAAACTTTTATTTTGTAATAGCATGCTATATATATATATATAAACTTTAGAAGTTTATGCGTAGGATAAATTCCAAAGTTTATACATAGAAAGTAATATATTAGAATTGCTCAATTATATTCCTCTGATCGTTTTCTCGGAGTATCAAACAACAATATTTATGTTTTAATTGGCTTTTGCTGTGCTTTTCCTCTAATTAAAATCAGCAATTACATAGGTAAGATATTACTAATATTTAAGAGTTCTTTAACCTACAAACATAAATCAGCTTGAAACGGCCAACGATCTTTTTTTTTATGATAGAAAGAGAAAGCTGAAGATTATTTACCGTAATTACGAGAGCACCAAATATGAGAATCAGTGTAATTGATGAAATTGTGTTGTAAAAGCTACGATCGATACTTTTTACATTTTTCGATGCTTCAAGTTCACATGACAAGCCAATATGACGTAAAGGACATCTGCAAAGTTTTGAACAAGATTTACTTTTTTCGTTACAAAATGTAGCATATTTGATTTTTTGGATGATAATTTATGGAGAATAAAAAAATCATGAAAAAAAATGATAGACAATTAGTTATGGAACAAAAAATCCTTTCTTTTAAATTATATCCGAGCACCTAAAAAAAATCAAATAAGCTTACAATCCAACTTTTTATTACTTAACTATCCTGCTATTGCATATGAATGATAATAATAATATTAGATTATGAATAAAAATTTTAAATAAATTCCTTTTTCTTAAATGCTATCATTTGCTATTAGCAATAAATTTTCATTAAAATAAATGAAGAAAAAGAAAGGAAAAAAAGCAAAGCTGTAATTTAATAAACGAAGCAAAGTACAGGAAATGTAAGTATTTTGGTTGATAATATAACAAACATTTTCCACCTTATTCGCCAATACAAAAATATTTATATCAAAATGAAAATGATATTTTAGCAAAAAGAATTAATACATAAAAACATTGATGTAATTAAATGGAAAAAACCAATTTAACATTCATTTTAATTTATTTTAAGATAATTTTCTGTTCAAAAACAAAGTGGCTAGAAGCATAAACATTTTGCAACTTTTCGATGAAATACAACTAAATAATATTTCTTAATTATAAAATATGGAAAATGTATTCAAAATTTATTAGTTAAGGTCAGTGAGGCGAAAAATTGAAAAGTTTGATGGAAAATACGAAATGCATGATTACTACGCTGCTCTTTTATTTTCAAATGATTATTTGTAATCGATAAGGTCAGAATACTCCCAATAATCATTTTGTAATCGATAAGGTCAGAATACTCCTAATAATAATGATAATTTTTTCGGAAATTTTGAAATTTCACAAATGCAAGGAATAAATTTTTCCAATCAATATTTGCAAGTGAAAAAAAAAAGCGCAGTTTGTTTATAATCCATAAACAATATCCAATCAAAATATCTCACCTGCATTTCACTTCACCTTTATTCCTCTCAAAGAGCTCCTCGTCTTCAATATCGGAAAATGTCAAATTGAACAAATCACAAGCGTCCAATTCCATTTTTGGCGGTATATGTAAAGTTGATAATGAGTTAATCATTGATAAATTAAGCTCAGAACCTGCAAAAAAAATTTGTTTCACTTAATTGATCAAAACATTAAACTAATTGAAAAAAAAACAAAGAAATTAAAACTTTTCATTTATTTAAAATATTAAGCAAATAAGAATCATTCATGAAATTTTATTTAAAAATTAATAAAAATTAGCCAAGTCTAAGACAACTGCAACATTATATGTTAAACGTTTTAAACAGTTTGTAATGAATTTAAAAAAACGGATAATAACAATTTTCAAATAACTAAAAAAAAGAATGCTGATATTATGTTAAATTTTATTTAATCTTTTGTAACACAGCAAGGCATATTGATCGTTATTAATTACAAAAAATTTTAATGCTAATTACTAATTAGAATATTTGTTATTGAAGGAGTGGGAAGTATACCGTATGAAATCGGATAAGTAAAGAGTGGACAAACCGGATGTATCCACAGCAATCCAATCAGTCGGGTCAACGGTGTGTGTCAATTTGTGTTTTTCCCGAAGATTTGTTTGGGTGTGAAGATCGATAAATGGTATACCGCCGTTGCAACAGAGGATGAGAAGATGTTTAGCAGTTAGCAGTGTTAAATTCATCTGAAAATTAACTAATTCATTAATTGTGTGGTAAAATTGATTGCTTGATTATTTAAATTAAAGCTAATTAAAGTTTTTTTAATTTCTAAAAAAATCAAGAATCTAAAATTACAATTGAATATATGTATATAAAGCATGTTAAAATGTTACACAAAGTAATCAAGCATATCATAATAATTTCATTCTTTAAAATTAACGAATAGTTTTACGAAGAGACGAATTATTCAAAATTTTACAGCGATTTCAAAGAACAAAAAAAAAAGAATTGAAATTATCTTAAATATGTATCCTAATTGATTAAAATAATTTATCCTTTTTTATGGTTGTTTTCTAAAATTTAAGGAACATTTTATTAACAAATCAAGACAGTCTGTTAGCATCAAATAATTGTCGTTTGAATAAAAATTTATTCAAAAATATATAACTAAAAGACTAACATTTTTCGGCAACTAATAAAAATTCACAATGTTTGAAAAAAATTTCATTAATAATTAAGTCAATTTTAGTGTTGAAAGGGAAAAAAAATTTATGAAATTATTAAAAATTAAAGATGAAATATGCAAAACTGATAATATTAATAGTTCATAAATTTTGAGTTTAGAAGTTTTTTGAATAAAAAACAAAATCAAAACAAAAAAAAGGAACTAAACTAATTCATTTGAAAAAGCCAAAATGATGCACCAAATGAAGAGAAGAAGCAATTAAATTTTATAAATTAACACGCAAAAATTTTTTCTGTAATTTTTGCGTGCATAAATTTAGCAATATTCTATGTTTGTATGACTTCAAAAATTTTTACATTTTATGTTATTATTAAGGTATTATTTCCATAACAGTAAAAGCATTTAAATCTTTTCTGAGAAATATAATTTAACCGATGGAAAAATCATTGTTTTTTATAGTTTAAATAATCGTATGGAGATCAATCAAATACAGCGCAATTGATAAATTATCGAAATCAATAGCATTTTTAGTTGAACTTTTCATTCGAAGATAACAATAGATTAAGCAGAAATAATTAAACATTGGTGCTAATATTTTTACAATTGTGGAAAAACAAAAAAATACGAATTTCTTTTTCAATAATTAAATTATACTATTTTTTAATCAGTGATCTGAAGTTATTTTTTTAAAAAAAAAAACTAAATATATGCTTTACGAATCAAAATTCTGCTTACTATATTTTATTATCTTATCCTGTAGAATAAATAATATCAAAATATTTTCAATGATATATAATCCTCTCAGAGGAAATACTACTCTTTCTCGAGAGAGATATCACTACTCACAATGACAACAAATAATAGATAATGATATTACTATATGTCATCGATGCAGTACTTGTTTATCACTTTTTCATGTTTTATTCATATCTGTCTAATACTAATGGCTAATTTTTGAACTTTTTCATTTCCTTTTCTCCATTTCTTTTTTTTTTTTTGTTGTTAATTCCAAAATGACTGTTTGGAAAATATTCAAACAAACATTTTTGAAGTGATTTTTAGAAATTGGTCAAAGCTTTTATGAAAATGATTGAAAGATGTAACATATCATCAAAATAATTTGAAAATCCATAGGAAAAGCAATAAAAAAAGCAGAGAAGAAAGTGAAAAATATGCTTTTAGAGATTTTCATAATTTTCAGGAAGAGAAAGGGGAAGAAAAAAGCTAATCGTTGATGCTTTTCTTCTTTTCGAATTTACAAAATCCTTAGAGATTATTATAATAACAATAACAAAGAAAAAAAAAGAAAAAAAAAAGATAATTCCAATGAGATTAACATATTAAAATGATAAATTATTTGAGCTTATAATTTTTAGCAATATTTTATTTTGTAAAATTTAATTCAAAAAATTTTTTCAAAATAGTAATTTATAGCTTACGGAATTGTATTAAATAAGTTTTGAAATCAGAAATAAACTTTCTACAAAGAAAGCGAAATAAATAATTGTTATTTCTATGAATGAAATAAGTTGACTGAAGCATAAACGCACTTAGAATTACCATAAAGGAATTCAGGGAAATGTAATACGACAATTCGGCAATTTTATTCAAAATTACTAACTTAAATAGCTGATGAAATTAAAACTTTAATAGCTGTAGTTTTGTCGAATTAAAGAAAAGCTTTAGAAAAGCTAACTTAATTTTGGCTTGATAATTTTATCATTTGCTAATTTCTAAAAATAAAATTATCTCCGATAATTAACTCACAAAATGATCAATAAACTGAGGAAGCAAAACCAAAAATTCAAAAGTGGCAAAAAGATATTTTTGAAAAAAAAACAATAAAACTAAAAAACGAAAGCAAAAAATGTTTATAATCGATAAAGTACACGAATCATTCACAAAAAAAAGAAAAGCTTTAGAAGCTAATTTAAAAATTGAAAGTGAAGGATCATTGGAAGAATAAAATTGCTATTTAAAAAGAGGAGAAAAATTGAAAATGGAAATGATACACGAGAAGGACGGAAACGTTGAAAGAGAAATAAATTGAAATTTAATGAAAGTAAATTGAGCTAAAGATATTGATAGAAGGAGGAAGGAAGAGGAAGAGAGAGAGGAAAATAAATTTTTTTTTTCATGTTTTGATGATAAAATAATGAGACCATTAAAGTAATAAGTGATCAATCTTTGTAGCTTAATGATGATTAAAAATGGTATGTGGTAATTAATCCAGTAATTTAATTATTTTTTCAATTATTCAAAAACAAATTTTTTAACGTTGTTTTTTTCTTGATTAAATGATTTTAAGGATATATTTCGGTTAGTTTTCATTTCATCAAAGCAATTAATTATTTGAAAATTATTATTAAATATAAAATTTAAACATTTTATATCTATGAAATTGATCGAAATTTTGATGTTTTGAAACAAATAATTGCAGCAATTATATTGAAAATAAAAAAAAATGATAAATAAACAAATAAAATGATTGCACGGGAAAAAATGAAGTTTTAACTAACTTTGAAGATTGTGATTTAAAGATTGGTATGAAATGATTAGGAAAATAAATAAATAAATTATGGCAATAGTAATTATAATTCATAAAAAAATGATTAATGAAAGGAAAAAATGGAATATTGAGATTTGATTTTGAATAATTCTAAAATTTTATTTATTTGAGCTTAAAGGAGCATTTTAAATGTATTGTATGTCACAGAGAGACTTAAAAGTGACATTTGAAGTAACAGTCAAAGTTGATATTTATTCGAACATCTATTTTCATCAAAACTTAATGATTTAAGATTTTAATGCATTTGACAAGTTGCAAATTACAAATTTACTTCGTGTAAGGCTACGAAAAACAAAAATGAATGATTCGTATAAATTATCAGTGAAAAAATTGAGATGACTTTAAAAACTGAATCGACTTTTATGTAAAATATAATTTTAAGTTGAAAAAGCAAATGGTTAAATTGCGGAAAAAAATGAAAATTAAAAAGATGAAAATAGTTGCAGTAATTAAACTAATTTGTAACAAAACGTTCATTATGCATAATTTTTTGATTTTTTAAGAAGAAATGAAAAAAAAAAAGAAAATTCAAAAAAGAAATGTGATTCACATTGCAATGCAAATATAATTTAAAAAAAAATGCTTCATGAATTTAGATTTTGAAAAGTTTCGGACTTATTTTCCAAATGAATAATGAAGTAAGTGAAAAGAAAACAAAAGGGATAATCAGAAAAAAGAGAAAAATTGTGGAAATGATGCAAAAAAAAGTTTTGTTTTTCATAACTAATATTTGTCAAAGATTTAAAAAAATGCCATATTTTTGTTTGCAATAAAAATATTCAAAATTATATTTTTACTTCCTTGAAATACTAAAATGATAGCTATTTTTTAACTTTACTATTTACGGATGAACTAGAAATCAGTTGCATTTTTGATCTTACAAGTTAAAAAAAAGAGAGTTAAAAAAGGATGAACAATGTTAAATGGTAGCAATAATACAATAAGTTTTATTTAATTTATGAGTTCTTTAAAAAAAATATAAAGAGAGAGAGAGAAAGAGAGAGAGAGTGAAAGTACGAAATGCGCCAAATGAAGCATTATTTATTCGTTTAATTTCATTTGTTTTTTTTTTTTTGAGAAAGAAAATGATGGCAGATATAAATAAATACATACAGGTATGACAGGTGTGATAACAGATACATTTATTCGTTCATTGTCATATTTTATTATTTTCCGTTTTAAAATTAAAATTTGATATCTTGCAGTCATTTTTAAGCAAATCAATAATGATAATATAAATTGCAAACTAAATTATAAAATTATATATTCATTCCGTTGTTCCTCTTATTTTTGATATTGATATTTAGTATTTAAATGGTAATCATTTAAAAAAAAAGCAAAATTGAATTTCTGGGCAGAAAAAGATTATTTGCATTTGTCTGCCTTTTTTGCTTTTCCTTTCCTTCTTTCTCTCTCTCTCTCTCTCTCTCTCTCTCTCTTTCTGAAAATCTTTGCATGTATTCAGTATTGATTTATTTAGTTAAAACTTAAATTAAAACTTGGATTATTTGAAATAAAAAAAAATGTTGATTTATAAACAGAAAATTTAAAAGAAAAGAAAATCTCATTTATAATTTGCAAAATGGACATGCATATGATCATATATTTTGTTTCTTTTTAAACTTATAATTGTATTTTTATTTGCTTCAATATGAAACATGAAAAAAAAAGAAAGGCATTAATAAAAAATTTGAAATTGAGGAAAATTTTTTGAAAAAGAATTTGAGAATATTGTAAAATTCGATCAGCAAAAAAGAATATATATATGTGGGGAAATATTTGGCGTTATTATCCATGGGATTAATAGTTAGTGGATAAACTAACTTTTTTTTTTGCAAACTTTTCAAGTCTCTCACTCATTCAACTATTTTTAAAAACCAAAGAAAAAAAGTTGAACAGTAAAAGTACAAGTATTTATCACTCATAAATTTATAATGTAACAATTTCAAATAGTTTTATTTAAATTAAAAAAAAAGACAACAACAAAA